ATCTCATTTTATCTTTGCCTTTAATTGCCTATAACTTAATAAATAACCTTTGACCAATGTTTGCATTTATTTTGTTCTCTAAAATCAATTTTGTATTGTAATATTTATATATCAATTAATTATTATTTAATAATAACTTCAATTCAAACTATTACAAAAATAAAATAATATCTAAAAAAAAAGCTTAATTAAAAAATAAAGTTATATATAAATACTCTTTATATCTACTAATATGATACGAATTTTAAATATAAGCCAACATAATGAATTTCTCATAAATATGTTTCTCCAACTGAGTTAACATTTCCATGCCATTGGATGAGTACCTTAGTGTATAGAGGGTGAGTTCATCCTCATATATATATATATCTATATGTATCATAACAGAGGAATTATTGACTCATGTTGTCTTAAGAAATCGAGAGAAATGCACATAAACTATAGCCAAAATATCTTCATGATGTCCCTTCCTTTCTTCATGGTGTTCCTCGTAAGGCTTCCATTGTCCTCTTCGTAACTGACCATTTTGCGTTTCAGTGTTCCTTATGTCGTGGAGTACCGCTTGTTACGAGGTGAATAATGGTCACGTGCCGGTGGTAAATTAAATTTGTCGATAAATCATGCAGATAAGGAAAAGTACGCGCAAGGAATGGCAAAACGTTCATTTGTTCGATGCTCGGTTATTGTATATTTCTTAAATGCTGAATCAAAATGTAAATAGCGTCATAATGAATAAGTATGAGTAAATTGTGACTAATTTCAGTGAAAATTTAGCTTTTTGAATTGGATACTTACTGTAAGTAGTTGTCCAAATTTATTTAATAGAAATAATATATGTTTCATTGTTTTAAATATTTAATATAAATTCTTAAAATAATATTTAACACAAATTATTATTGTTAAAGTAATGATAAACAGAAAACCTAAAATTTTATTGTGATACGTTAGATTAGATTATATAGGTTTGTATGATTCAGAAGTACATACCTTAACATAAAGGCTTTCAAATTCGATTGTAAAATTAAGTTATCCCTTGTATCACTACATGACATTGTAAATTTATACAAATCACAAAGGGGTCATAAAGTATCGAACCATGAACCATTCTATTTCTGTCGACCTTCGTATTAGCTATAAAGCGGAAGTTTTATCTTTGAAATTATTTCCATTCCGGAATTTCCGCTCTCTATCACCGACGACCTCATAAAACACATTTTCAATATTTCAAGTGTACGATTAGATTAATTTAATGGTTCTCAATTTGTAAATCACAATCCAAAAAAGTTATTATTTTTAACGTTTCACCATATTCCAAGAATTAAAATTATATTCAATAATTATATAACTATTCAAAGGTTATTAATCACACGCTAGTTAAATTTTTTATCTTATATAAGAGAGAGAAAGAAAGAAAGTCGCGAAAAAACATTAGAAAACAATAAATTAATTACTTAATTCTCTAGCCAGGATCAAGGATTGATAATCCTCTCGAAGAAAAAACGCTCGAGCCATGGAACAGGTGTTACTCAGTAGCACGTGTTCTCCTGCGAGCACGTTGACGCGCAGGTTTTCGAGATTGAAAAGGAGAGAAAAGAGAAGAGAGGGAGAGAAGACCGTGGTGTTCCAGAGCAGTGATTCCGGTCAGCCGGAATAGCGGTACTCGGTCGGCCGTACATCTTCTCGTTCTCCAATTATTACGCTGGTTTCCGCGGCGCGCGCACTTACGCTTTGTCGCGAAAGCGGAAGAAACCTGCGCGCGCAGGATACGTTTCGATAAAATCGTTTCAGTTTTTACTTCTCTACCGCCATCTCTCGTTGTTTCTCTCGTTACCTCCGTTACCATTATCGCATCTCTGTGTAATTTAGTGGAACTCATTGCTGAGCTTTTTTCTTTCTCGTCTCGTGACAAGAGGAAGAAGGAGAAATTGGTAGAAGAATCTTTACGCTTAAGATCGTACATATGTTTATTCTGCTCGTGAAATTCGAGATATTGATCGGTCTGGAATTTTCTGTTCTTCCCAAGAATTTTTACACTGTTCCTGAAAGTATAACGAGGAAGGAGTGTTAAAACGTGTTTGTAGAGTGCAAACATATATGAGTGCAATTGGAACGAGTGAAAGGGCAATTTGGGAAAGGGGGCAATGGAAAATGTAAAAATGTTTTGATCGTTATAATTGGTGAGTGAGTTTCATATATGAATTTCGTGTGGTTCGATAATTTAATTTATGTTATCATATTTTTGTAACGATTACAATCATTTATATCGAGAGAAAGAATTAAAAAGAATTTCTTATTTTTTTATATTTATAATATGATAAAAATTATACAAATTAAAGAAAACGATATGAAAATAAAATTATAGAAGTTCATATGAAATGATTATATAAACATAATATATAAATTATTATTTAAAGATTTGAAATTACTCTCTTTATAAAAAAAAGATATAAGAATTTTTAACCATATTCGATTTTCCAATCATGCTTCATTTAACATGAAATCGTAAAAATTATTAATGTTACGCTTTGGCGAAATACGAAATAACTGTCTTTACCGAATATGCGTAAAATAATCGTAAAAATTTCAAATTAAAACATTAAAGATATAATTGAAGATGATTTTACAGATTATCGATATTATTTTCTTGTAAATTATTTTTATTTACATTAGTAGTCGATGCAATAATTTTTAATTTGCTCTAATTATTATTATCATGATGATGCTTACGGTACTTTCTATAAGTATTTATATCAAGAATTAATATATTATTCGAATTTCTTTTTAGAAATTTCATATAATAAGACAAATTATAGAAAAAGAAATTAAAGATAGTTATGCGTATTAAATACAGTTACTCACAAAAGTTTTCGTATACTTTATAGGAACATTATTATCGTAATACATATCGTATATCATTTTATATCATTTTCTTATTAAACATATAATTTTGCGGTAAAATTTTATATTATTTTTATAGAGCGTGTCTTCTTTAATTGCATTATTTTCAAGATAAAAAAAGAGAAGCTAATTTCAAATAATCAAAACATATTTTCTTTTCTTCAATCAACAAATACAATTCACACATACCTCATTCATTTGCCAGCAACACGTTCGAAACTCGCACGCCAAACAAAGCACACGAATATATATATATTCGTAGTATTTACGTTCGTTTAAATCCAAGAAGCGAGAGACAAAAACAGATTAAAACAAAATAGAAGAAAAGAAAAAAAAATGAAATGTGAATCTTCTGGAAGCTCAACGATGCGCGGCAGTGCGACGTTACTGCTGCATCGTTTATGAATGCGATTCCCGAGAAGCGTGTAGCGGCGCTGCAGCTGCGCCGGATAGTTGGTAAGGCATGTGCGCCGAGTAACGGCTAATTGGCCACCTTTCCTCTCCGAGAGCGGAGAGGCCCGGTCTCTCTCGTGGCCCGACTCTCGTGCCAGTTTTGTTCGTTCTGTCGTGCGGTTTGTATCGAGAGAGTCGAGTGAGGATCCAGTATCACAGACCGAAGAACCATGGAGCGTTGTTCGCGCGCTTTGAAACGAGGACGTTTCCTTTGATACCCGCGTGACTGTCGCGTCCTTTCTTCGCGTCGTTCGTATTTCATGATTTTCTTCGAAATCTACCACGTTGTGTTTTCGTGTGTCAAGATTCAAAGATTGTACAAATTCGTTAATCACAAAGAAAGTACGTTATTGTGACTTTTCTTGTTACAAAAGGATCGTTGCTTCTGTTTCGTAGGACGTGTACAAGACGCTTGAAGTTTGCGGTGAGTTTACATACTTTTTCTTTTTAAGTTGGATTTGCACGAGGGTTCGCGATTGGATGAGGGAGATACGATAGGAATGTTGGTATTGGAGGGACGAGTTTTAGAGGTTCTGTTGCGGTTCGATGACTTAAACTGGGAAGTGAATCGGAAGTAATTCGATGCTTTCGAAGTGAAATATATTTTAGGATGTTTTGTGAGTTCTTATTGACAGGGCTGTTTTTTATTCGATAGAAAATTGATACGAAATGAGTCAAAATGTGGTTTTCGGGTAGTATTCGGATTTGTCTTGAAAGTATTGTTAAAATATTTTATTAGCGAATCGAATTTATTGATATAGGGAATATCGGCGATTTTGAATTTGGAAAACGGATTTTAGATTTTTCCATCTGATAATCCAAATATAAAAGAACAATATTTTCAAATAAGAAGAAAACTAACTTTGATTAATGTTGATTAAGATAATTTAATAAAGAAATTTATTTATATATTATTTATATATCACGTGAAAAAAAATTTTTTTATTTTTAAAATAAAATTGGAGAGAATTATATAAGTTTTATTCTAGAATAACTTTTTAATACAAGTTTTCAATAATATATTATTATAATGAAATTGTCATTAATGAAATTATAATAAATGATAAAAATTTATTCGAACTATTCCCAATTAATACATTTATAAAATCCGATGATAAACATAAAAACGAAATTTTTGCCGAGCAAAAATTAAATACGAGTTTGATAAAATGTTTCTCGTTTTCTTATTATTAATATTTGCTGACTTATTATTTTTTTGTTGCAATGAAATGCAGGAATCATGAGACTTTGATTTACGTAACTAAATCATTATTTTTTTATATCGCATTTATAACTTTTCCGTTCTATCCATTCCATTTTCATGATTTTTAGCTTGTTAGCTTATATATATATATAAATGAGCAATTCCTTTATAAAAAAATGCAATATATACATGCAAATAAATTTGACAAAAAAGAAAATTTTGTTTTTAATAAATATCGATATTATCGCGCAAAACAGGATAAATTATAACCTACTTTAAATTATTTTACTCATACACTTTGCATACATAGTTATAATACTCTTTCGAAAGACGTAAAAACTTGCAATTAACGCGAATAAACCTATTAATTAAATTCGCCGTTTTGCATGCAGATTTCATTCAAGTTTCGATTTGTTTCGAACATTTAAGTGCTTATCTTTCCAAAAATGGCGTTTTCATTTATCACGCTTGCAATATCGAAATGATTTACGATTTACGAGTTTTACTTTTTTCTCTGTCAAGTGCATCGAAGCTTAACAATGTCAATCGCTCCTTTCCAATCGACGATTCGCAATTTCACCTTTTCGGTCGCTACTTGCGGTCATTGTATCGTCTTGTGCTCATGCCCGGATTAAACTAACCTCTTAAAACTTTTGGACACAATGTTCCTTCATTAAAAGATATTTTTCCGCTTTCTCTTTTACATTTTTCGACCTTCCATGAACAATTTAGATTTACTAGATCTGGGATTTTCTTTAAATTCTTTAATCAAAAATCTGAAAAAATTTTAGAATATTAAAATCTTTATTATAGGATTATTTATCCAATCAAATGTTCAAAATGCTCATCAATAAAAATTAAATTTTGAATTTCATATTCTTTCGATTCTTTCTTTCGTATATAAACGGAACAAATTATTTAGAGAAAATTAATTTCGAATATTATTTATACTTAGACATCTTATTTAATAATTCAATGAATTAATAAATAGTTATATCCGATTTTTTTATCTTTAAAATTTTCATTGCTTTGAATTAAAACCCGTTCAAGCCCTCTTATATTAATTCTTCATTGCTCGTGATCGTAAAAATTATCGTCCAATTTTTTTCTTCATCCCAGTGCAACACTATTCTGTCGCAAAGGTCTACGATCGGATCTATAAGAACGTAGTGGTTCTAACTAGCCCCACCGTTGATTAGACGTCGGACGAGGGAGAAATTCAGGCTTAATTGCCCGCGGAACAAGATTCTGAGCGCGCGTTAACGACGAGGTTAACGAGGAGCCGCCATAGTGGTTTTAGAAAAGTAACGAGGCCTGAGCGAGCAACCGAGGCTTAATCGGGTGGATAATTTCGGGTTGCAAGCGGATTCAAGCGCGAGAACAGCTGGCCCTTTGAGAAGAGAATTCCAAATTGCGGAAATATATAGTACATACTTGAATATGAGATAATGAGAAAGAAACGTTGTTGTATACATATTACGTTTTGTGCGATGTGGTATACAGAGTGGGTTAAAAATTTTGGATGTAATAATAATAGAAAACGAGAAAAATTTTGTATTAAAATTTAAATAAAAGAATTATACTTTGAGATTATTATTATTATTTTATATGATATGATATATAGGGTGAGCTATGAAAAATGTAGTATAATTGAAAAAGGAATTATTTTACTTGTGTTAAGAACTAAAGAGATTATACGATGATATATGAGATGATATATAGGGTGGATTGGAAATTTTGATATATAATAGTCGAAAAGAAGGTTCTGTATTATAAATAAAGAAATTATATTTTCAGATTATTATTATAATATATTTAATTATATTATAATTAATGTATATATTTTATATGATACGATATATAGGGTGGGCTAAAAATTGTAGTGTATTTTTTTTTAAAACAAAGAAATACAATTTATTGGAAGATTATAGATTTATAACCCCAAAATACTGAAATATCTTTTTATATTCATATTTATAATTCATCATTTCTAACTGAATAAACCTCGATCTAATTAATCAATTTTACAAAATATAATAAATTCCTCGTTTTTTTATATGTTTGTTCTCGACTATTGAATACACATTTTTGTTCTCCAAGTTTTGTTTTCCCTTCATTTTATCCTCTGAATTTATCAATGCACGAGAACACCTGTTCCATGTACCTCAAACGATGGTAAAAAATCGGGTAAAATTACAAACAATTGTACGTCTTGCATCCGTCTCATTATACTCGTTACATTCTCAACAATCGTGCTGGCTTGTTTCACTTATCGCTACGAATGGTGAGCTCATAGGGCAGACAGATGTTATTACTGCACACGTTGTAATTAGACGTGTCCACCTTAACGTTCATCGCACGCGTAAAAATATTATTATTCCCGTTATAAGTCACTTTTTCAACACATAATTTTTCCATTCCAACATTCGAAGAATTAAGAATCGCGCGAAGAAAGGAAAAAATTCACTTGTCGAAACTTGAATTAATTCTTAATGAAAGTGTTAGAAAATTGAATTTAAAAATTTAAAGAGATGTTTAAGGGGAAATAAATAATACAATGGAACGTCGATTATTCTAATAAATTGTACTATATTGGGGGGTCTATTTGAATGAATTGGATAATGGATAAGGAAGAATTGTAGAAAATTTTTTCAACAATTTTTAAAATATGAATGTGTAATAAGAGAAATATATTTGCAAATTAATCTTTTGATTTAAATATTCATTCGTATAATAGTTTGAATAATTAAACTTTTGAATAATAAAACTTTATATAATTGGATAAGCTATATTTAGATAATTGATGATTGAATAATCCATATTTGATAATTGATGTTTAAAGTAATTTAAGTTTGGATAATTGATATTCAAGTAATTCACATTTGAATAATGTTTGGATGATTCATATTTGGATAATCAATGTTTAATGATTTATGTATATTTGGATAATTAGCGTTAATCCGGATAATGACGATAATTTGGATAATGGATATTTAGATGACCATAATTGGATAATTGATATTTATATAATATATTTGGATAATTTACATTTCAATGATAAATTACATTCAATTCACTAATTTTAGTAATTATATTTAGATAATATTTGGATAATTGATATTTATATAATATATTTGGATAATTTACATTTCAATGATAAATTACATTCAATTCACTAATTTTAGTAATTATATTTAGATAATATTTGGATAATTGAT